GGGGGTGACCTCCGGAAGAGACTACAGGTAACTTAGAGGAAGATCCGGTAGGCTAGCGGATGCCTATCCACTTAAAGGTCATTATCTGACAAAGAGTCGTGTTGGGAGACGCTTATCCTGCTTCCTGACGAATAAAACATTAGCAGCAATACCTAGTAGCTAGGTGTGCAGAACACTGCCAGCAGTCAGGATAACTTAAACATCAATTCAACCATATGCAGTTTACACTGTGGACTAAGTTTATCCCATGATAAACATAATACGGCCTGGGAAGATATCCTGGGGTGAGTGTGTTACAGAGAGAGAGAGAGAGAGAGAGAGAGAGAGAGAGAGAGAGAGAGAGAGAGAGAGAGAGAGAGAGAGAGAGAGAGAGAGAGAGAAAGAGAGAGAGAGAGAAAGAGAGAGAGAGAGAGAACCATGTTGTAAATCTTGCAAACAAGGCAGCCAGGAAGCTTACAGCACTGTGGGTGGCCTTACTGTTATGTACAAGGCCAATATTGGATCCACTTTGAGGACAGCGTGAAACAAGCTTTTATGCCACAAGACGGGCAGAAAGCAGCAACTTCACTCTGGTTGTACCCTTCTCCAGAACATCACTCCATTTGAGATTATATATACCCAGGATGACTCGAGTATGGAACACATTCGTACAGGATAATGATGTCAACGAGATAAAGTCAGTTGATCAAATGAAAATGCTGGCCCCACAGATGGCTCGAACTTCATCCTGCTCCCTACTTGTATGTCTCATAACAAAAATGCTTTCAAATGAGCTGATGTAGGTAACAGCTCTTAGTTTGCCAATAAAGTTAGGAATCCTTAACCTGTAAATAGCTTGCCAAAAGTTAGGAATCCTTAACCTGTAAATAGCTTGTCAATAAAGCTAGGGATCCTTAACCTAACCTTGTCAAACCCTGTGAAAAAAAAGAGAGAGAGAGAACACGGGTGGGCGCGCGCGCGAACATTCTCTCTATTTGAAAGCGCCTGTCCATACCCACTATTATCCACGGACCATTCTCATAGTCAATATTTCATTGTTGTTAAGAGAGGGATGGTGATTTACAAGAGCCTTAAACAGCGATTATCTGCCGTGCTACTGAATGTGCTCTTTGGCTCGCCGTTTTCTGTTCACGATTCAAAACTCTTATAAAGGGTAAGTTTTTTTTTATCAAGAAACAACAATCTAACCTAACACAAATAACTAACAAATTTACTAACAAAAAAGTATACGAGAAATTAACATAGAATCTGTGAAGACTGCAACATATGCGAGGAAGCCAGTAGAAAGTTTGCAGCAAATCTCAAGGTCAAGTTAGGCTGTCTCTTTATTTAAAAAAAAAAAAAAAAAAAAAAAAAATAACCTACGATAACGGGAAAAAAATATAAAGATGTTAAAATGTTCTGCCAGCGAACAGAGAAATGGGAAGGAGGAATGTGAGGGAGGAGAAATTGGTGAATGAGGAGGAATGGGAGGGAACAGGTAAAAAGGTGATCTGAAGAGAAAGAAGAGAATGATGAGCAGGGAGGAGAGTGGTGAAGGGACAGGGAGTAGCAGCAGCTTACAACATTACTGGTGGTGTAGCCTGGGGTAGGAGGAGGGATCTGGTTTACCTCCGCTACCTACACTGTCGTATTCACAACTGTGTTTGTTGGTGTATGTATGGTCTTACGTGTACTTATGTTGGTGGTTATCAGCCTTTTATCTATATGATTTTCTATCTTGTTTAATCAAATAACTGCCTACAAGAGAGACCTAATAAATGTACCCACATACTGATCAACAAGGACTGTCTTTTTTCAATAATTTCGTACACCATTTCTTTCTTACTGCATTTTAATTGTATATTTGGAGGTACACAGAAAGACCTGGTAAAAATTATATTTTGCGTAATGACGTTTTCACAAGTCACCACAAAAATGTAATGTACCTGCTAGAAACTAGACTACAAAATAAGAACAAAATTATATTTGTTTTCCAAATACTATGTTGTTGAACTGTCATTTTCTTCTTTTTCACAGCACATATTAATTCAAAACTGGAATATGGGACTTGGTACCTTATCTTCATCTTAAACTCCAAATATGAAAAAAAAAAAAATCCTGATCGGAGAATTAACAATGAGATTCTTTTCTTAATGTCATCTAAGCAGTCTGTACTTGGCTACGAGGGATCAGGTCTGGATGTTAGGCTATGTTGCATGTCTGTACTTGGCTACGAGGGATCAGGTCTGGATGTTAGGCTATGTTGCATCAGCTGTGGATTTTTTGGCTACAGGTCTTTGTGTCTAGGCTATGATGTATTAGGTGTGGATGCTGAGATCTGGATATCAGGCTATGATTTATCTGGTCTAGATGTTAAGGTCTAATGTATCGTGAATCGTGTATTGCGAGCACATCCAAAACAAAATAGACTTACTCTCGATATCTGTAATTCTCCCTATTTTACACTTACACTCGCCAAAACGACTGTAAACATAAAATTTCTAATACAGTTATTGCCTAATTAATCTTAAGTTAGACCTAAGCTTACCTGAAACACATTGCCAATACTGGAGCTTTTATAGAAACAGTGCATCATGCCGAGGTGAAGCCATTCCCAATACTAAATTTACTAACTGCAATATTGTTAAATGTTTTGTACTACCTCACTATTATCAATCTAGTTAATGATAATCACTTCAATTAGCTAACTTTTACATTAATATACAATAATGTATATGCAAATGTACTGCTCCATAACCTGTGCCATTGCAAAGTAAGAACTAGGATAAGTCTGCCCGAAATGCCTAAGCATGCTAACTGCTTTCTTTATAATTAATATTTTATATGTAAACCACACATTGTAAGCTTTGCATGGAAATAAACAATTTCACTTTCATAAATCAGGTCTGAATATAAGGCTATGATGGATCAGGTTCTGGACGTTAAGCTATGACAGACCAGATCTGATACTTAAGTTATGAAGGACCAGGTCTGGATGTCAGGTTATATCGATTCAAGTTTTCTTTAATTGTAGAGTTGGAGCCTCAAACCAGTTGTCAGCAAAACTGGGGTCATTTACCTGCAGTCCAACTTAACTACCCTTAGGTTTTTGTATTTTTTTTTTACGAATATAAGGTGACATAAACAAAAACTTTACCTTGTATACATTAGGGGAAAGACCATGTATTAGGTTACAGGCCGTCACTGAGACTAAATAGCAATCCCTCCCTGACTTTCACCCGAATTGTTGCTCGTTAGGTTGTTAATCACATCTTATGATGTGGTATATTTTTTTTTTTTGCATTAGCCTGTTAAACCATCGGTCAAACGAACAAAAAGTCTACTGACCGGGTGATCATATCTCTTAAGACCCCCAACAAACATATCAACACCATCGAAGACTATCAACTATAAGGAAGCCATTGAAGCCGGACTTCACCTCTACAATATCAAGAATACTTTAAATCTCTGTACGAGGAACAAAAGTAAATTATCAGCGTACATATATAAAGGTACCTCTGTGTGTATGTCGTGCCTAACAAGCAGACTCGGTCAACTGTGTAAAAATGCCCTAAAAAAATGCTCGAAAATATTATCATGCATTAATAACTATTTCAATTACATAAAAAATAAAAGCACAAAACGTGTCACCACATCTTGCAAAAAAAAAAATTATATAGCCTAATCTTTCTTAAGTTATCTTGGATCAGTCTAAATTTAGTTAGCATTAATGTCAATTACGTTATCTTTTTTTTCGTCAGGTACTAACGGATTTTTGCATAAATGATTTTTCACTGCTTATTCAAGTCAAGATCGCCGATTGTTTTTATCGACACCTGCATACCAGATAAAAACTTGTCTTAACACTTATTTGGCATAATAATAATAATAAAATTAATAATAATAATGAGCCGTTCACCAGCATCCAGACGCTGCCCCTTGAGTGTTATCTGGGTTTAGATAATGTTCTGTTCAAACAAGGCAACGAGGCTACAGGATCCAAGCCAACATTAACTGCGTGGTGGAAGTGCAGTTTCTTTTAGTCCACAAAATGCGATATTAGAATGTTGACGTCCACATGTCATGACCTTGATTGTGGCAGTTTGTGAGCGTTTTGAGTTATTTGTGAATGCATGACTGTGTTTGGTGAGTGCATGTGCTTAGGGACTGCACGTTTAGTGAATGCATCTTTAGTGAGCGTTTATGCGCAGTGAATGTGTTAATGAGTGCATGTGTTTAGTGTCTTATGTTTAACGAGTACATGCTTCTGGATAGTAAATGTATGTGCACTGCGAGTGCATATGCTTGTGTATAACGAGTGCATGTTCATTTAGCGAGTTCATACGCATGTGCTCAGCCGGTGAATGTGTTTGTGTATTCATGTGTTTAGCGAGTGCACTTTTTTTAAAACCAACCTAGGTGAACCCGCAATGTGTGACTGTGTTGGAAGAGCTCATTCTCACTTCACTTATTTTGGTCACCCCCTCCCCCCCTAAAGCATTATCCTGGAACATAAACTGCCGTTTAACCCAGCACCTTCCCTCACGAAACACAAACCAGCAATAATTTTTGGCAATAAATGAGCTCAATGTGCTATTAGTGTCACCTTGCTCCAGTCTATTGACCTGATAGCTCCACGCCACCCACTATATCATTCTTATCTGTTTTATTAAGCTATCTACAGGATTTCCTGAAGTGAATTACGTTGGTCAGATACCATCATCTCCATCACTTACTGCGGATATACGCAAGCGTGCGTCATACCGAGTGAAAAGGAAAGTGGTCCTGGATATCACACCTCATAACGGGTAATTTCAACTCCGTCGGGGGAAGTAAACAAACGCACATGATCACATTCACTGTTGCAATCGACAGTCACTGTCCGGCTGCAATGACTTCCGTGATTTACGCGCACGCCACCACACACAGCACGGTAATCAACACACCATCCTTTAGGTCTGCCTTTAAAAGTCCGCATATGCGTGTGGCCACAGAATATTTTTTTTTTCAAAATTCACCTCCTAAGACTATGGCACAGCATCCTCCTCCCCGGGTGGAGGTCAAACACACACTGAGGCAAGTTAGTCTCGTCCCACGCTGCAGCAGACATGTCTGCGCGCCCCAACTCTCACCTTACCAAGTTAAATCATTAATTTTGTAAACGATTTTGAAGCGCTTTACAAAAATACGATGTAATGAATTGCCATTTTGAACCAATCACTGTCAATGTTAATGGTGCAATCACCATATTTTTCACGTTTCTGTAGCAATTTATGTTGAAACATAACATCTTGTGTGGAGTTGTCGGGTAGTATTATTTGGTAATATTTTCGGCAACCCACAACACTTACTTACACAATCTTTTTACCGCGAGTGTGCCTGGTTTTCCTATCACTATATTAAGACGCATATTTTAAGTAATGGGACGAGCGAGCTCTAAATAAGAATGCCCGAGCCATTTATGAAGTAGCAGTGAGGCAGGCGGCTGGCAGATAGGCTTGGGACGAGACCAAGCTGCCGCTGTTGCCCGTATCTACCCCAGGCGATGTGAGATTCGTCTCGTGGTGACAGCTGACATATAAATCACAGGTTCTTTCATCCAGTTGGGTAGAACATGTCAGTTCAAGAACCGCGGGTGCTCGAGTGCTGAGCTTTGATACCATCTATGCAGCTTAAGAGTAATGGACAGTACACAAACCCTTTTTTTTTATTTCGCGATTGGAGACTTGGGATAACAGCCCATCTATCAATAACAAGACAGTTTTTCAATATTAATAAGACAGTCAAATGGGTGACTGTTTAACAAGTTTTAAAAAGTGATTAGTGCAAACGGTGGTTGCCCATTTTCTGTCGACTCGTTACAACTTTTCGTTGCCTTATATTTCACTTACTGGTATTGTGCTAAGCTACAATTGGGTATTTTTTTTTTATCGACAGAGGACAATATAACCTAACCAGACCTAATCTAAATCGAAAACTTTTCTGAAAACTATATGTCAGAAACCCACACAGAATTTGTGAGGATGAGTTGGGAATAAAACTGGTTATATACTTCAATAATTATTTACAGTAATTATACTCTAAGTAATTTTTACAGAAATTATACACACTTGACTATGCAATATTTTAAATATGCTAAGCAGCCAAAATTAGTTACATTATCATTCTCAGCTAAACTCCGTAAAACAAAAACACACCAAACACACGAGAAGCAAAAGCGTTGGGTTGCAAAAAACAGCTAAAAATGCAAATAACAATAATCAGGTCTTTACTGCGGGCAGAGCAACGCGAGAATAGGAGCGCCGGAGGTCCTGACTCCACACTCTGCTCTCAACATTACCCACAACTGTCACTCACACTGGATGGAGCGAAAATACTCACACCAACCGACATACAATAGGATGGAAGAGAACCGGATAAACTAGGAGCACTTACAACAACACCACAGCATGGGTTCTGAATATGACCTACAGAAAATGAGCTAGTAGGGTTACTGAAACCTTGGGTAGCTTGGGAGGTAAACTGGTCTCACCATCAGTACTACATCAGCCAACAAAATTACTAGGTCAAAGTAGCCCAAGCATATTATCTTATTTTCCTTTGCCAATATTAGATTAAAAAAGAAAGATGAAAAACGAAGTTCCTTTCATATAGTCTCTGTATGAGAGATTCACTTTGTATCACATAACTCTTAAAAAACATCAAATCATATGGTAAAAGGGCTTGGAATATATAAAAAAAAATGGTAACTATCCTCATATTCAAACCACCATTAGCAACAGCAGAGAAATTTATTGAAGAGATGGGGAATTTTTAACACAGAGAACACAAAGAGTGGTAGTTAACAAAAAATCGAGTCTCAGAGAAGTAAAAAGTTCAGTACTAGAATACAGGGTCCTAGCACCTTTCCTGTTTCTCATCCTCACACCAGACAAACAAAAACATTCTTCACACATTCATATCATACTTTGCGGACGGTACTAAAATAAGTATGAAAATCTCCTCAGTAGAAACTACAGACAAATTACATTTAGATATCAACAGTTTTCTAATTTGCAAGTGAAAATAATATGAATAATAATGTCAGATGATATGTCGTCCAGAGACAAAAGCTTTAGGAAAGTATTTGGAATGTACTCTTTGAAATGAAGAGTGATACCTTCCCCAAGTGTCAGCTCAACATGGTTATGTGGGCCAGCGGGCCGCTAACAGCAACGGCCTGGTTAAACAGGAACTCGGCAAGGAAGCTTGGCCAAAGGCCAAGCTGGTAGGGTAGAGCAGTCCTCGAAATCAATCACAGGTATCACATGTGGTGTGGGCGCTGTTCACAAGTCCTAGTCTAGGGTATCGGCTGGGACATCGATAAAGCCTTCAGACGATAAGCATCACGCCACGGGATCTTCAGTGACAGTACAATTAAGTGAGGACAGCTGCAGACAGCACCTCAATCGCTTTGTCTCTTCCCTGGGTGCTGTTCTCGCCCCTGACGTGACTAGTGTTACTGGGATAGTGTCTAATTCTCGTCGAGGTTTCTCTGTTTATGGTGACTAACCATGTGGTGGCCACCAAATTTATAAGTAAATACTATCTTTGGCTGGCCAGGTAGCCCAGTCTCAGGAATATACATAATAGTAATTTTTGAACGCTTCATTCAATCAGCCTCAATTTTTTACTCTGCCATACTGTAACGTGGGATATGTTCGTGTAGCTGCTGACATTTGAATAAATGTTTTGAAAAGCCGACAAGTTAATAAATAAGACACTTGTGAAACACTTGGGTATCTTCAGTCTAGAAACGTTTCGCTAGCCAGTGGCTTCTTCAGTCACCTGATAAGCTAGGCTGTTGTTACCTGAAACCTGCCGACCCACATAACCATCCACTTAGAAATGATTTCAATATACGTGATCTTACTAGGTTGCCTTACACACAAACATCAAACCTAATTCACAGTATGCAAATTAACCTTCGTTCTAATCTGACAAACATTAAGATCGACACGAGGTATATACAAACCTCCTTTGAGCAGGCCGTCCGCCATGTGTGTCATCTCAAATTATAAATTCTTGTCACACGATTAGCACTATTCCAAGAACTGTTTTCGAGTCCTGGTTTTATGGTTGAAACTCGCAAAAGCGGACAAGAGCACTAGCTTTAGGTAGATACTCTACGATAATGAGTCTTCTGAACAAGAACAAAAGTTACTTGTGCTGAGTCCTGAACTTGCGTCATGATACCTGTGATATATCCAGGGACCGTTATCAAGGATTTTTCTAAACCTCGCAGCCCCGACTGAGTCCAGCTGATTACCTGTTCATCCATGCCGCTGATGGCCCAGAAACTCATCACAGCCTGGCTGAACAGACACTTGGAGAGAGTGATACCATTTTCTTTTGAGGACTTCTACATTTTTTCCGGCAGTACTTCTGAGAGCTACTGGTAGCAGGTTGACTGGACGAGGCCCACGGATGTTGTGCCCACGGCGCCCTGCTTTTCTCTGGGTTTATCTTACACTTCCTCCCATATCTCTCACTTCGGTACGTTGTTATGGTAGTGTGTAGGTTTGTTTCTTCTAGAAACGTCCACCTTCGTTCTTGCAATATTTTTGATATTATCGGCAGCAGGTTGAAAAGTCTTATGCCACGAATGTTGACACAAGACAAGGGAGCATTCCACTAGACTAGCCTGACCCAAAGCCGGGCTGCGGAAATAGTTAAACTCTTGAAACCCATCGAAGATACATTATTATCATTATAATAACTAAGCGCTAAATTCACAAGAATATCAAACATAACAAAATTGAAGGATCAAAGATACCGAGAGACTATGCTGATGGATGAACTAATTCTGTAACATAAGGTTTGGCGTGTTCTTATTTTAGGTCACTAAGCCTCGTCAAGGCCTCTGACTTATTGTTGCTTTAGTGACAGGCAATTCCTACATTACTGATTAATTTATTTCGTATTGTATTTTTGTAATAAAGTATTCATTTTTTCAGTTTATTTGATACTCTTTCATTTATGATTACTACAAATATTTTTTTTTTACATACAATTTCCACAAGGAGACGAAGACCATCACTTTTCCTCGACACTCACTGATAAGTACCCAGAGTTTACTTGCAGAGGGTTTTGTGGTCACTGCCCTGCGGCCACGTCCCAAACCTCCCTGATGCTTGATGAACCAGCTGTTAGTTCTAGCCGCATACAATACAATGTATGCACCACTAACGTAAGGCACAATATCCCTTGTAGGATATTTTGTTAATCTGCCACATCACATTTGGAGACAACCACCCACCCCTTCCTATCAAAACCGCTATATTTTGTCTTGAAAAAGGAGGCGAAACATGAGGAAATCTCATTGTATCAATGGAAGGATCTCATTTAAATACAATGTAGCCCCAAGTTCTTATTGCATGGGGAGAGCATTGTTGCAAAGAAATGACAAGACTCCCTGCAACCACCTTAAGTCATGCAGAGATAAATATATAAATATTAATGAGGTGTTTCAAGTACTGTGTTGTAAGACCCATAAAGGTTTAGCGCATGATTTTGAATATAATAATAGTAATAATCAAGTATTCTGTATGGAAGACGTTGATTCCATACATACGGCTAACAAAGTGAAGGAAGCTGAGAGGATGTGTTTCACAAGGCTGCATCAGGCCCTGATGAAACACATTTACAAAGGTGTGTCAGGAACTGATGTAACATATTTACAAAGGTGTGTCAGGAACTGATGTAACATATTTACAAAGGTGTGTCATGAATTGATGTAACACCTGACGTATTGCATAACGCCGCACTGTTATCTGTTAACGGCTCCGAGTATCATCACCCTCACGGCCCGGTCTCAGACCGAGCTTTCTAAATTGGAAAGGAAATGCCTGTGTAGAAAGTTAAGTCGTGAACCATGTATGTTGACAAGGTGTTCTCTGTACCTCTAACAACCCTGCCTGTCACTAGGTTTATTCTGCACTTCCACTCATATCTCACTCTGGTATATTGTTATGGTAATGTGCACATTAAAGTCCTGACCCTCAAGTATTTTCTATGTATATATTATAAGGTACATTTCTCTTCTTTACGCTAAAGTATATT